ACCGTCGGCAAAATGTCCGTTCGGCAAAATGTCTTTCGGCAAAGGGTCTTTCGGCAAAGTGTCTTTCGGCAAAATGTCCGGGTACCGTTTCAGGGGGGAGGGGCGACTTTCTTTTTGTGTTAACCCCAGACACTTAGCAAGATAGCCGTCCAATGTTACCAGTTGGACTGTTTCTGAGAATATTTGCATTTTCCGTAGTTGATGGAAACTTCACAGAATGGAGCCAGTGGTCGGTATGTTCTGCGACGTGTGGGTCAGCTGTCGTTCATCGAACACGAGAATGTAGCAATCCGGAACCTGTTCATAATGGAAATGATTGCTGGGGTTTGACGAGCGAACAACAGCATTGTTCTGTGCCGACTATTTGTCCACGTATGTAACGAATTCACTAGTCTTCCGTATCATAAGCATTACAATGCCGCAACACTGAACAGGGGCGTACTCCCCCCCCCCCCCAACCCCAATGGGCAATTTTTTAGGGGGAAAAAAATCATGTTGAGTAAGAACAAGAAAATGTAGAAGTCCAGTTTGAGCAATTTTGAAACTTTGCTATTCTGATATACGTCGTTTTCGGCATTCGGTGGAATCTTCCCCAAAAGTGCATGAAATGGGGTTTCAGAGACTATAAATTTCATAATTTTCTGGGGGAGCATTCCCCCTATTCAGGGCGTAATAAAACACGTGTTTTACAGCGCCCTGCCCTATTCGACTAGGGGTCGCGTGCCTTTGTTATTCGGTACTTGTGCTTTTACATGATCGTCCCTAGGCCCACGGGTCGCCCAGGTCCACTGCGGACAGTAGCGTGGGCCTGGGGACGAGGATGATATCTTCGACGCTACACCTGTGGACCCTCATAAACATGTTTAGTTTTTCTAGCATCTTTACGTTCTTTCCTGACCACACCGTTTTTGTCGGGTAAAGTGACTCCCCCCCCTAATGTTACAAGGTTACTACATCCATATACAAAATTTCATCCATTTACAAAACTACTACTTTGAATGCAAAGAATTAACACAAAACCTGAAAATGGGCAAAAAAAAATTGTTTGATGGTATTTGTTGTTTTCTGGCATATTTTTAGAGAATAGACATCAATGAACAAGACTATTTATGTTGGCAACTCTGATTCTCGCTTTGTAGCCAAAAATTTGAGAATTTTAAAATTTTCCCTATTAAAGTACCATGTTGGCAAAAAATGCAAAATTCCAAGTTCACATTTAACAAAAATAAACTTTACCATTAAGAACATTTAAACGAGTAGTATATATCGTATCAGATTTTCAGTTTCTTAACGCTCAAATTGTACTGAAGAAAATACACTAATTTATGGTTAGGGTTTAGGGTTTTAGAGTTACTGTAGATCGTAGTTAGGATTAGGATAGGAGTTGGGGTCAAACTGGATGTCATGCAATATTTTCACAGACAAAAATTATTTAAATGCACTGGGAATCTTATAAGACTTTTAGAAATAGAACATAAAACTAATCAAGGGTCTGATCCTGAGGTAAAACAGATGCCAAAAAGGGCACTTCTGGAGGGCACTATCAGGGGGATCCATTCCCAAAATTAGGTTTCCCAGATTGGCTAAAAATGCATTTGCCATACAACTTTTGTTACACTATCGCACCATTAAGGTGGATGCACTTATAATTGCATTTCAGAGATCATGCCTAGAGTTCAGGTAACATTCTTTCTATTGGTTAGAATTTTTCCTCTGAATTTCTGGGAACTCAAAAAGTACCAATGGTCTCGTGGTCCGATACCTTTTCTACCCCTGTATATAGAGGTACAATGACGTTCAATTTTCCTGTAGTATAGATTCACTATACATGAATGTCATTCTCATTAGATGAAGCTGGATTCTCACCGTGGTCTCCGTGGTCTGTGTGTGATGCACAATGTTCGCTTGGCGAGAGCACAAGAGAGAGAACATGTACTGATGAAACCAATGTGACTTGTGTTGGAACAGCTCATCAGAATATCACTTGTGATGCTGGACCATGTCCTAGTAAGATTTAACTCGAGTTCTTACTATGCTGACGAACCAACTGAGTGAACTGACTAGCTGAGTATCAACTATCTAATAACTAACCAACCGACTGACTGATTAACTAACTAACGAATTACTAACTAAATGACTGACTAACTCAATAACTGGCTAATTAACTGCATGACTAATGAACTGACCAAATAACTAACGAACTGACTAATTAACTGCCTTACTAAGTAATTAACTAAATATCTAAATGACTGACTAACTAACTGGCCAACTAACTAATTAGCCAACTAACGAACTGACTAACTAATTAACTAACTAACTAACTGACTGACTGATTAACTAACTAACGAATTATTAACTAAATGATTGACTAACTGGCTAATTAACTGCATGACTACCGAACTGACCAAATAACTAACAAACTGACTAACTACTTAACTAACTTACTAACTAATTAACTAACTAATTAACTAACTAAATATCTAAACGACTGACAAACTAACTAGCTAATTAACTAACTAACTAGCTAATTAACTAACTAGCTAATTAACTAACTAACTAGCTAACTAACTAACTGACTAGCCGACTAACTAACTAACCAACTGACTAACTAATTAATAAATAAACTAACAGCTAATTCACTATTTCATATGCCAACTAATTTACCGATTAACTAACTAACTAACTAACTAATAATAACTAAATAACTAACTAACTAACTAACTAACTAACTAACTAACTAACTAACTAACTGACTAACTAATTAATAAATCAGCAAACAGCCAATTCACTATTTCATGTGCCAACTAATTTACTGATTAACCACAATATTCATTTTTCAGTTAATGGTGGTTATACAGAGTGGGAAGCATGGTCACCATGTACTGGATATTGTGGCTCTGGACTTCAAACACGTACTCGAAGTTGTAGTAATCCTGAACCTGCTTATAATGGCGCTGGATGTGCCGGAGCCAGTGAAGAAACTCGAGATTGTGAACACAGTACGCCCTGCTCAGGTTTGTTTATTGATACAGTACATTCTGTCGATGCGATTAACGGAGCAATGTACAGGGTGCCCCCCCCCCCCCCCACACACACTATATTTTATGTGAATCGAATTGAAATCGTCAGGGCAAGACCGGATTTTGGTGGAAATAGTGAGAGAGATAGAAAAAATTAGGGGAGGTGCAGCGGTTTAGCTCACGACCCCCATGGAACGTTAGGGCTTCGAACGAGCCAAAGTCAACGACGTGACGTATGGATGTATCAGTGTATTAATTTAATGAATTATGACTGTACAACTCATCTAATTTTGTCCTTTATTACAATTGACACAAAGTTTTTTTTTCAAAACATCGCATCATACAGAGATGAATGGCTACCACTGTTTCAATTTTACAGAAAAACTTTCTTACGATGTGTAGACCCTGAGCAACCAAAAATGTCAAGTTTTCACTTTGATGTACTATTTAAAACATGAGCAGCAGTGTTTTATCAGATATAAAGATACCAGGCGAAGCCGGGTATCTTTAGGTCTGATATGTACGTATGTAAAACAAGGCCCTGCGAATGTTTTAAATTGCTTCAAAAACGATCGATCTAGTGAGTAAGAATTACGTTGTGCAAGTCGAGAAAATCAAAGTTAAAGTTTATGTAAATCACATATAAAGATACGACACGCTTATGAATTTTCTTTGTGTTTTTCTCATGAATTATTAATGCCTTTTTGAACTATCATTGAAACTTTCCCAAGAGTAGGTGCATGACTTTTCAGCGGAGGTGCAAAAATTCTCAGGGGCGGTGCAAAACGATCTCAGGCGAGGTGCGCACCTCTCCACAAAATCCGGCTATGATTCAGGGCGGTGTTTTGAAAATATTGTTCTCCCTATATTAATACATTTGACTGGAATCAAAATGCCATAACTCGCGCACTGAATGTCCAGAACATGATATTTTCGGCATTGACTGACTAATGTGAGAATAAAGATTTCAATTCTGAGGTCCTTTTTTGGCAAATATCTTTATAGTGAGCAGGGCCGCAGAGAGGTTGGCGGGGGCCCGGGGCAAATATTTTTTTTGGGGCCCCCTATCCCAAAAAATTTTTCCGGAAAAATTTTTTTCGGGATAACAACCTCCCCCCCCAAATTTTCGGTCAGTGTACCATTTTAGGGGTAAAAAATTTTTTCCGGACGAGTGCGTTGCTATTGCTTTCCAGTGACTTTATGTCATTTTTTAATGCCAAATTTCGGTACTTAGCTCAAGAAAACAAATATCTTGTCCTTTGCGCGGAAATATTTAACACACAAAAAAGACTGGGGCCCAACAAAAATTTTTCAGGGGCCCCCAGCACCTCGGGGCCCGGGGCAATTTGCCCCCCCCCCCTCCTCTCGGCGGCCCTGATAGTGAGATGAAACATTGATAACATGCACTATTAAAGTAATGTCTAATATAAACTCGAATACTGGTATCGTCGGCCGCTTTTAGAAGGCAAATATAGTTGGTTGTTGTAGTAGACCAAGTCATTTATACCTATCTATTTTCAGGTGAAAGTGGTTACGAAGAATGGTCAGATTGGACGCTCTGTACTCAGACGTGTGGTAGTAGTATTCAGATAAGAACAAGAAAATGTAGAGACGGCGTTCATCCCGACGAATGTTCCGCTGAATCCAATCAGACTAAATCTTGTGACAAGGGTCCCTGTCCAGGTTTGTATGAAATTTAAACACGAGAACAAACAACCCTCTTCCTGTTATTGCCAACGTTTTGTTCAATTATTTTGTGATGTTTTACCTGTGTGCTGCTGACACGTTATACACCTTGCCGAATGGCTGGTCAGATCACGGTTAATAGTTCTATTAACCGTGGTCAGATACATAAATTTTTTGCAGCGAAATCTACACCAAAACTATACAAACCAAAATAACTCTATCGCAAAACAAAGCGAAATTGCTCATAAAGGATTGTATTAGGTTAAAATTGAAATTTGGTGGTCAAAAAAATTTTAAAATAATTGCCAATCTCGTTCCCAGAGTATGCCTGTTCGCGGGTCATGCCACTACATAACCCGCGAACAGGCATACTCTGGGAACGAGATTGAATAATTGCAGGCCAGAAAAAATTCTTAATTCGCACCCTGCTTAATGTTGTTCATTTAATCAAGCTAGTCCTAATGGGGTATAACATGTCAGCACACAACAGAAACATCACAAAATAATTGGACAACACTTTGGCGATAAGGCCAATTTTCAAACTATTTAAAATTTCTGTCATTTCCAAGACTGTTTGATTTCATGTAACGTAAAAGCTATAAAAGCTATCGCAATGAAACAAAGATCATTGCATTCAGAAAGGACTGATTTTGATATATAACTTGAATTTACATGCAATATTGAGCGCGATACAAAAAATATTCTGCTTCCAGCTACGAAAGGTTGGTCATATGTTGGCAGCCAATATTTTGTAAAGTGTCCGCCATTATTCCAGTAACATGATTATATCCTAATTCCAGCGCATGGTTCATAGTCAGATTAATTTCCGATTTTTCTTCATAGTGCATGGCAACTGGGCGTCTTGGTCAAACTGGGGTGTATGTAGCGCATCTTGTGGTTCTGGAGTGAAAGAACGACAGCGTTCATGTATTGATCCTGCACCATCTTATGGCGGTCTGCCTTGTTTTGAAAATTCACATGATTATCAACATTGTGTTATGCCATCGGACTGTCCAGGTAATTGAACCACATCTATTCTACTCCTAACCATAACTCTAATCCTAAACTTAACTCTAATTCTAACATTAACCTAAACCTAATCCATACCCTAAATCTAGTGTTAATCCTAACCTTAATCCTTACTCTAACGTTAATCCTAAACTTAATCCATACCCTAAATCTATTGCTAATCCTACCCTTAACCCGAAATCTAACGCTATCTCTAACCTTAGGGTGGATACCGGATTGTGTTACTTTGACAATATTTTCCCGACTCTTTGTCATATAATATCATGATTGCGGGTATTCCCTTTGTTCTCGCAGGGCAATTAATAACTAATACACCTCATTATATTCATTTTTTCTAATCCTACCCGCTTTTACGTCATGTCAGGTAGAATTAGTTGTAATCCTACCCGAAACGACGTCAAAGCCGGTACGATTAGAAAAAATGAATATATCTGAAATCGCCAAAACTAAACAAAGACATGGAAAACAATTATACCATTTAATTTATACCATTATTTATTGTTAATTGGTTTTTAATGGCCCTGCGAGAACAACGGGAATACCCGCAATCATGATATTACAAGGTAATAGCATAGAAAGAGGCGAATTAGCTATTAAAACGTCCCGCCCGATGAGGGTCGTTTAGTAAAATTCCCTTGGGCGCCGTTCGATTCGGGTCATGACCCTCATCGAGCGGCGCCCAAGGGAATTTTACTAAACGACCCTCATCGGGCGGGACGTTTTAATAGCTAATTCGCCTCTTTCTATGCTATTACTTATAAAAATAGTCCACTATCTGTTTAGTATGTGACATTATGATCGTCAGATAATATTCAACAGAGAACAGTTTACATCACAAAAACCCCTGCAATTTCGTTTTAATGCCCGGTAGACTAGTTGTTTGTGTTTCACAATATCTTAACGCAAAACAGACTGGTTTGTAGTTATAATAAACGTTCCAATACTATCCAGCATGTATACTTGTGATAAAGAGAGGATATTACACGGCGGCGTGAAGATATGACTTTTATCTTCCCGTGTTAAAAACAATATTTTACTCACTCGCGCCACCGTGTAATGTTGTGTTTATTTTATAGTCCCAAGCAAAAAATTGTGAAATTTCACGCTCAAAAGCAAATTAGAAAAAGTCACGTGATCGACATCTTCACCAGTGAAAATATGGAAAATATCTCACTGTGTATTTTTCAGTGTCTCACTCTCTACTATATAATAAAAGTGATTATTTTTCATTTTTACTTGCAGGTGATGACGAATTTTCCGGATGGGGTAACTGGGGATCATGTAGTGTTACATGTGATGAAGGAACACGTAAAAGATCCCGTTTTTGCACTATTGTACCTAGTTATCCCCCAGCAGAAGAAGCGTATTGTACCAATCCTACAGAGCAAACCATCGAGTGTTATAATGAACCATGTTTAGGTAAGGAATGCGTCTCTTATATTTATAAATTTTCTGACTTTTGAAATAAATTTTCTGACTATTTGACTGACTTTTGATTATCCATAATAATTGTATATTTCCATACAGTGTGACCAGATTTGGTAAAAAGTTTTACTTTTGGTAAAATTTCGTGAATTTTCAAGAAAATTTGGTAATGAGTTTCTTTTGGTAAAATCTGAAAGGTTTGAATTATTAAAAATAGTTGGTAAAAACGTGTGTTTCTTGTACATGCTCAAAGTGATGAACAGAACTGCCAAGCATAAGAAATAAAGCCTTATCATTAGCAAAAACTGCAATACGATGAAAGCAACAAGTATTTCGAAACACTTTTTGTGAATATTTTTTCTACTTTGATGACGTAACTATTGTTTTTTGGCATTATCATGACGTAATTATTTGGGAAGCCGACATTTGGTAAAATTTTTCTTAATTTAGTAAAATTTGAACAAAATTTTGGTAATGACTGCTGAAAAAATCTGGTCACACTGTTTATAAAATAACATGTATATAACGCGTATTCTGATTGGTCGAAAGCCGTGTTTGGATCAGGCCATCCAAACACGGAAGACTACCGTGTTGTTGTTATTTTATAAAACAATTACTTTATGGTTTCCGTGTTTGGATGGACTGATCCGAACACTTGGGAATGTTGCTCGAGTTAAGAAAAGCGGGCAAAATCACTCGCCTTCGGCTCGTGATTTCGCTCGCTTTTCTTAACTCTCGCAACATTCCCGCGTGTTTGGATCAGGCCATCCAAACACGGAAACCATAAAGTAATTGTATATTCCATACTACAGATATAGTATGGAAATAGGATGGATATACTATGGATTTAGTGGTGCAATTGCAAATCTCATAGTATGGATTTCACTTTTTTCCCCAGTGTTTCATTTCACACGTGTAGTATTTTTGGTGGTAACGGCCGCCCACATGTAACAACCTTGTTGATATTATCAGACATGTTGCAAGGTTGTTCCAACAAGTCCGATACAGTCATGATACAACAATATTGTTACAACCTTGTGTCGTCAACCTTGTAACATTCTTGTTATATCACGACTGTATCAAACTTGTTAGAGCAACCTTGTAACAAGTCTGATAATGCCACCAAGCTTGTTACAAGCTGTCAGTAACAGCTTGTTCCAAACTTGGTACAACAACTGGGAACAAGCAGTGCGAACACAACTTGTCGACAGCTTTGTAACAACTTGTTTGCAGACCTGTAACAACTTGTGCATTTTTACGTGTGTACATATGTATCATTAGAGAGGTTAAGATACCCCGGTTCCGGTTTACGGAACGGGTGATATACACGTGCACGTACCCGTAAATCGGGAAACGACTTGTCACTTAAGAAATTCAAGATACTCCGGCGTGACAAAAGAGATCAGAGAATGGTAATTTTCGCTGTTGAGGTTTACCATAGATTGTTGAAAACTTTGACGAGCATATGTGCATTATTTATCTGAGTAACATGTTGAAGTTTTTACCGTTGAAACGGCCCACAAATAGTAAACAGAAAACACCCGTACCCGTTTGTCGTTTATGTGTAGATTATGGTTCACCGCGGGGAAACGGGTAGAAATTACGTGTAAAAATGCTGACGTCAGCAGAAATTGGTAAACAAAATGGCGATACTCGTACCCGTAAACCGGGGTATCTTAACCTCTCTAGTATAGTTATGACTGTACGACTCATGGTGGAGGAATACCATCTACGTTCCTTGCCCTAACTTCATTATGGTAATGTATATATTTTGTTTCAGTGAACGGCAATTTCACTCCTTGGACAGATTGGTCAGCGTGTACAACATCGTGTGGTTTTGGAACACGTGCGAGATATCGTAATTGTACCAACCCTCCACCCCTCTTTGGTGGCAGCGATTGTCTTGGACCTCTCTATGAAATCAAGGAATGCGAGAATGCATCTGGTTGTCCGGGTATACATGATTTCTGCTTAAAGGCACAGTTCAGCCTTTTGAACGATGGTTTTTAAGGCGTATTTGAGCCCTTCTAATTGAAAAAACTAACTAGGAAAATCAATTAAGCATAATTCAAAATCAGTAAACTCGATGTTTTTAACAATATAAATGTTTTAAAATGTTAAAAACATTCAGTTTGGTGATCTTGAATTATGCTTAATTGATTTTCCTAGTTAGTTTTTTCAATTAAAAGGGCTGAAATGCGCCTTAAAAACCATCGTTCAACAGGCTGAACTGTGCCTTTAAAGGCCCGATTATACTTGCAGTTTGTGCTGCGATTTTCTTCTCCTGAAGGATGTGAACGAGTGGATAAGTTACGAATGATGAGATGAGGGGCCATATACTCAGAACATTCATAACTCATATACTCATTCACATCCATCAGAAGACGAAAATCGCACTGGAATCACAGCAAAAATTGCAAGTGGTAAACGGGCTTTGTTGTTGGACTCATTTTGTTGTTGCGATAGATGGCTGGATCAGCTCCGAGCTAGCCTGCGTGCAGCCTGACTTTAATTGGGGAGAAGACAGTCTGCGACTCAGGGAACAATAACGTGTTCACGCAGTACACGCGCTACGATTGGCCAATTCGTTAATATATTTAGTTCAAACAACATTCCAGAATGAAAAAATGGCGGACCAATACACAAAGAGCAATGTTGTGTGTAATTTAAGCACGAAACCCATACAAAAGATATGAAAGTTTTCTCATTGAGGGTTCTTAAGTCGCCATTTTACTAAATATATTATTTTGTTGAACTGAATGTATTAATGAGTTGGCCACTTGTAGCGCGTGTATTAAGCTTCTGAGCAATAGCCAATCACGTTGAATACAGAAATGCTTCAATATTACTCTTTTGAAGCGGAAAATATAGCGAAACAACAAAAATGCTGAAAATTTTCGCAATACACATGACGTCACAAATTGCAACTAGGTTTAGACTGTGA